AAAATACTCAAAATAAATAGATAAATACAGGTGATATGTTATAGAGTTTTAAAGAAAATAAATTAATTTATGATAGAGTTTAGGTAATTTGTGTTACTGTTTTATAGAAACTCTTTTAATATATCCCTATTTAATGTGATAAAGTTTTATTAAAAATAAAATAGGTAATTTATGGCAGAATTTTATACAAATTATTTATTTTCTCTAAATATATATATCCTTGTATAATTAGATTTTCTTTTATTAAAAAGTGTTAGAGTTTAGAAAAAATATTTTATTTTTTATATCAATTAATAAATATTTTAAATATTAATAATTCTTGTCTAATTAGATTTTATTTAATTAAAAAACTCATAATAAATAGATAAATCGGTAATTTGGGTTAGAGTTTTATATAAACTTTTTAAAAAATTTATTTTACTTTATTTAAATATATCTTTGTCTAATTAAATTTCCTTTAATTAAAAAACTCATAATAAATATATAAATACAGGTTATATGTGGTAGAGTTTTAAACAAAATAAAATACGTAATTTGTGGTAAAGTTTTATAGAAATTATTTTATTTTTTGTAAACATATTCGAAATAAATAGATAAATACAAGTTATTTGTGATAGCGTTTTATAGAAAATAAAATAGCTAATTTGTGGTAGAGTTTTATAGAAATTATTATTTTTCCTTTAAATATATTTTTGTCTAATTATATTATACTTTATTAAAAAACTCATAATAAATATATAATGTGCCACTAATTTGTGGTAGATTTTATAGAAATCGTTTTATTTTCTTTAAATATATTATTGTTTAATTATATTTTCTTTTATTAAAAAAACTCATAATAAATAAATAAATATGTAATATGTGTTAGAGTAAATCTTTTAAAAATTCTTTTTACATCAATTAATTAATATTTTTTTATATTAATAATTGTTGTCTAATTAGATTACCTTTTGTTAAAAAAACTCAAAATAAAAGATAGTTTGTGGAAGAGTTTTAGAAAAATTATTTTATTTTTTATATTAATTAATAAATATTTTTTATATTAATAATCCTTTTCTAATTAGATTTTCTTTTATTAAAAACTCATAATAAATAAATAAGTAGGTAATTTGTGTAAAAGTTTTATATAGAAACTCTTTTAAAAACTCTTTTTAAATAAATTAATAAATATTTTCTTATATTAATAATTATCATCTAATTTGGTTTTCTTTTAATAAAAAAACTCTTAATATATAGATAAACATGTAAATTGTGTTAGAGTTTTATAGAAATTCATTTAAAACCTCTTTTTATATCAATTAATAAATATTTTTTTATATTAATAATACTCGTATAATTAGGTTTCCTTTTATTAAAAAAATTCATAATAAATAGAGAAATAGGTAATTTATGGTGGAATTTTATAGAAACTCTTTAAATATATCTTTGTCTAATGTGATAGAATTTTATAAAATTTATTTTATTTTCTTTAAATATATCCTTGTCTAATTAGATTTATTTTTATTAAAAAATTATGATAATTGGTAATAGAATTTTAGAAAAATTATTTTTATTTTATATATCATTTAATGAATTTTTTTAATTAAAAATTCTTGTCTAATTAGATTTTCTTTTATTTTAACTCAGAATAATAAATAAATAAATAGGTAATTTGTGTTAGAGTTTTATTGAAACTTTCTAAATATATCATTGTCCAATGTGATAGAGTTTTATTGAAAATAAAATGAGTAATTTGTGGTAAAGTTTAAAAAAAATTATTTTATTTTCTTTAAATATATCCTTGTTTAATTAAATTTGCTTTCATTAAAAAATGCATAATAAAAGATAATTTGTGGCAGAGTTTTAGAGAAATTATTTTATTTTCTGTATAAATTGATAAATATTTTTTATATTAATAATTTATTGTCTAACTAGATTTTCTTTCATAATAAATATATAATGTGATAAAGTTTTATAGAAAATAAACCGCTAATTTGTGGTTGATTTTATAGAAATTATTTTATTTTCTTTAAATATATTATTATTTAATTATATTTTTTTTTAATTAAAAAAACTCATAATAAATAGATAAATAGGTAATAAGTGTTAGAGTAAATCTTTTAAAAACTCTTTTTATATCAATTAATTAATAATTTTTTATATTAATAATAAAATGAGTAATTTGTGGTTGAGTTTTAAAGAAATTATTTTATTTTCTTTAAATATATTCTTGTCTAATTAAATTTTCCTTTTATTAAAAAACTCATAATAAAAGATAATTTGTGTTAAGAGTTTTAGAGAAATTATTTTATTTTACCTATTTAATTTTAATTGATAATGAATTTGTGTCAAATTTAACATTTTTGAAATTGAATTATCAATAGCACACGTAGTATTACTTAAGAATATTTGAGAAGTTCCAACAAGAAACTTCATGAGATACAGTTTTTCAAGAGAACATCCATTTTTACCATGTCGGTATAAATAAGTATGGAAACCTACCATTTGATGCGCCTGCCCAACCTTATCATGAGGTTGTTAAAAAAACAAAAAAAAAAGCAAAAGAAAAAAAGTATATGATAATATGTGGTGAATTAATTATTTATGCACCAATTGATTTATTTCAATATTTTATGCACCAATTAATTTATTAAATATTTTATTATGCATTAACACCTTTTTTAAAAAAGCAAATAATAATTAATTTATGAATTTATAAAAATTGAGTTTATTAATTTATAAAAATTGAGTACAATATGTATTCTTTGCATATGAAGCAAATAATAATTAATTTATTAATTTATAAAAATTGATATTCTTTGCATATGAAGCAAGCAAATAATAATTAATTAGCAAGCAAATAATAATTAATTTATTAATTTATAAAAATTGAGTACAATTTCCTGATCCTTTGTTGGTTGGATCCATGTGCTAACGAATCTTAATCTCACACGATTACGGTACGACTTTGGATGTGCTTGAACTTAAATTATGAATCTCTAAATTTATGTCTCCTTAGATTTTTAGAATTCTCAATTTCTGTACCCTTCCTTCTTCCTCGATACCTCTATTTATAGGCCGATGACATATGTCCTCTTCTGATAAGGACATAATTATAACTGGGACGGATGAATGCCATTATCTTTTATAATAATAGTATAGATATAGGTATAGATTTTGTGTTACAGTTTTATAGAAACTCTTTAAATAATAGTATAGATTTATTATGGAATTTGTGATTTGAATTTATAGAAACTCTTTTTATAATAATATAGATTTATTAAGTAATTTGTAATTTTAATTTTATTAAGTAATATATATATATATATATATATATATATATTGTTATTAAGGTGGTGGTTAGCTTTATTTCATGTTAATGCTAATTAATCATGAGATTTCCAAAATGTACGGAGTTTTAGATAATAATTGTTTCCTATTTACACAAGATAATAACATGCATTACTCTATAATTGTACCTGAGACATGGAAAAAATGAGAAACATATGTAAATGATCTTGACATTTCATTCAATTACTAACATAATTTCCAAAATTAAATGATATGTTTCAATAATTTCATCAAAGAAGATTTCAGTTTAATATAATAAGCTATTAGAGAACAAAAATTTTCTCAATTTGATCCTCCAAGGAGCTAGATACTCAAACTATAGTTTTGGTGGTAAGGAATATCAATTATATATATTACATTATATTCATTTTTCTGCCTATGTGTGGCTTAATAGAGGTGCAGTTGCACCAATTCAATTTATTTTTATTTATACATGGGTTGGTTTTGACCCAAGTTTGGGTCCTCCCTCTCTTAAAAACTTGGATGCCATTGGGGCTTAAATTTGAATCTCATACTTGGCTTATTTATACTTCAAATGGTTTATTTTTCCGACGTGAGACAAGTATTTCCGATACTTTTCAGACCCATTTTGACTTATCAAACACCTCATTTTGAAGTTAATTTCTCATTCATCAGGAAACGGATTTGAAAAAGTAAATATACCACGTTTATCTCCTTGTGGAGAGGAACGCGCTCGTCTATAGATTCGCAAAAAATTCTAACAAAATCTACTCCAAATTTCATCCAAAATTTATATTTTTAATACCCCGTTTCCAACACAAATCTAAACCCTCTTGAAGTGGTCTCAATTCTCAAGTATCTCTCCCAGTTTCTATTAGTTGGAGAAACTACTTAAAAGTTCATGGAAATATTTACATTTATGTTTTTTGATAACAAAATTGTGCCCCAACGAAAATATAGTAATGACGTGTTTGGGAGTATGTGGTTGATGAGAAATTATATTTGTTGCGATAAAGGACACCCATCATCCCTTGCGTGACCTGTGTGACAATAAATAGCCATGGTCAATTAAAATTGGAAGATTTCTAGTTCAAACTTAACTTAATAAAAAAAAAGGACAAATTCTGGTCATGGACAACATGAGTGCATGATCGAGTGAATTCGAAAGAAATTTCTCCTCAACAATGAAAAATGTGTAATTACCGAAAAAGACAATGAAAAATGGGCTGTATGACTTTTAATATGTTGATGATAATTGGTGCCATAAAAAACAGATGTACCACTCATCCTGCATGCAACAGTACAAACCATTACACTTAGGGTCTGTTTGCCCACCTAGAATACCTTTTTCTTTTTTCTGTTTTTTTTTTTGGTGACAGTACACCGCTACAATGTTTTTGATATGGCACGAAAACATTAACAAGTACTAATTTATTTTATAATGTTATTTAAAACTTAAAATCAGGATCAATTCTGTTAACTCAGAGGTCAAACTAGTAATCTATCTCACTTGTAAAGTAATTGAATTGATTATTAAAGATTGTAATTTAGTAGTACACTTTTCAAAGTAAAAAATTGAGAGTTTATTTATATTATCAAGGCGTTCATATTTCATATACACATATGAAAGTTGTTATTATATATATATTCGAAGTTTAAACAAACACACGCCACTCTATATATTTTGCTTCTATCGAGACTCAAACACGGACTTTTCTTTTAACCACTAGTATTGTGAAAATGTTGCAATTTGTTCCCTTTATCATGCAACGATAGTTGAGGAAGGCAATTGCAATACTAAGGACTGAGGAAGGCAATTGCAATACTAAGGACGGACTTGCAAAAACTTGTATAGTACAATATGAATTTTTTTTTTTTTTTTTTTGTGCAAACAAACCAAACTTCTTTACAGTTACATCATGATACACAATGAAAAATGTTTCCACTCAATATTCTCACACAATGAATAAAGCCATTTTCCAAAAAAAAAAAAAAAACAAAATTAATAAAAATAAATGAAGTAAATATAAAATAATTAGAAAACTCATAAGGTAGCCACAGTCTCTCCATTTCTTCTCTCTCTCAAATCTTTAGTCTCTTCTTGACTTGGAGTCATTGAGAGAAACTTCTGAGTATTACTTCTTCCACTACTTGCTGCATCGAGCACTCCAACAGGACTAGGTGGTGCTGGTTTCAATAATTGCTGCTCAGTGCCTGCAGCTTGTTGACACATTTGGATCAAATGTACCTTCAAGAGTTGCTGACATCTTTTCACCCTTTCCTGTATCCAAAAAAATTACATTCAAATTGACGTAAGTGAAAGCGATAAATTTGTTCATAAAAAACGAGTTGTTTTGAATTCATAAAGTTGGTATCTTGAATCCACAAAATAAGAGATAAATTCAGGGAGATCTAATAGTCTTTAATAATTGAGTGAATAATTCTGATCTCTCCATTACATATATTCATAATGAAAGAAACCCTAATTCATAAAGAAACTAACTACAACACGAATGCTTACATTGCTTACTCTCTCGTGAAAGCTAATTGTTTTGTGATCAGTCGCCAAAAGCACTGCAGCTGCTGCTATTGTTGATGGTGTATAATCCATGTAATCAGTGACTGAAATACAAAGAGCACATTGCAAACTGTAATTAATTGAACCGAAGGGAGTCTATTTCGTAACTTTAATTCGAAAGTATTTACCTCTGCACGAGGCGAGAATAAGGTCTGAGATTCGTGAGAGAAAGCAATTGAAGCGATTTACGTTTGTATCAAGACATGGAAGCTTTTCGAAGAAATAATCCAAGAAGTCGAATGGCGTTATGACACACAATCGCCATTTGAGAGCAGCCATGACCAAGAGCTCCATCCGTTGAACTGTTTTTGGCTTGAACATGAATTTCGGTTCTAATACTTGCAAGTCCAACAGAAGTGGAACCCTTGTTTCCTCCATTTTGGCTGCTAGAGACAAACATGCCACTGATAGCAGCTGCGAGGACCACATTTTCCCTTCCTGTATGGACAAAAGTAAAACAAAGACCCTCAATTTTGCATAGCCTAGCTACAATGTTGGCTCATACCAAGTTACTAAATCTAATACTTTCGACGTGAATTATCTACCTCATTCAACAAACGAGGAATCACAGTCTCAATTGAACTTCTACTAGTGGTCCATGTTGACTAAAAATGACCCCTCTCTTTCTCTTTGCAAAACAGAATGACTTGCTTTGTTCATTATATATGAGTGTCACCATTTTAGCCATTGTGTGTGTAAATATGTATTTCTAGTTTTAGAATTCTTGTGGCGGTGACCAATTTGGTATTTAAAATAAGTTATGGCAATGAAATTACAGCTATGTTTGAGAGTACTGAACGAACTAATTTTTTTCAATACTAAATCCAAGATATAAATTCAGTGCTCTCAAACGGAATATAAATATTGAAAATTTTGTTACCGGGAGACCATGAAGCAAGAGGAAACGATCCAAATAGTTTGTAGAAAGATAGGCGGTTTTGGGATTGAAATTGTAATAAGCATGCACCTGGAAAACCAAACTCATTGTGATTAAACAGGTTACATTAAACTTGTATATTGCAGTGACATGAGAATATATACATTACCTTGAACATCCACTTAATGGCATTGTGTCGAGCAGTGACAACTTCATGGAATTTATCCAACCTTCGAATGCTGTCATATACCGGCATTTGGTGGAGCTCTGAGTCGAACATATGAACAATAAAGCTCTCGTCCTCTAAATCCGAAACTGACGATGAAATGTGGTCACAGACCACAGAATTTGAAGAAAACACCATGTCATTGACAGACTCATTGCAGGACAAGTTCGAAGCAGAGTAGTCGAACACATTAACAATGGAGCTCTCGTCTTCTGAATTGGAAACTGTTGGCGAAATATGATCACAGACCTCGGCATTTGAAGGAACCATCATGTCATTCACAGCTTCACTGCAGTAAAAGCTAGAAGCAGAGTAGTCTGCAGAGGATACAGACATTGTAGATGATAGTCAAAATTAATCAGTGCATAATTATCATCATTGCATATTATATGTATCCAAACTCTCTCTCTCTCTCTCTCTTATGAGGAAAGGCTCTGGAATATATACTACTCTATCAGAACACAGATTCACAGGTTTAAAGTTGTTCATGTCTACTGTAAGTAAAGTCTATTCAGTGCAATAGCACATTGGGTCATACCTATTGGGGGAATTTTCTATTATTATTTAGGCTGTGTTTGGCTGCATGTGCTTTTCTCTGATTTAATCAATTTTAATTCCAAGGCTCCAATTCCCTCAGCAGAACATTACCTTAATATTACAACATAATTACAGAACACACTAGTCAGCTCTCAGATAACCGAGTGAACCACATCTTAGGACGACTTCTATAACACGAATAGTACTAACAATAAAATGTAAAACAACAAAAATATGTATAAAAAAAAAATAGAGTTTGAGAAGAGCAGAGCTGATATATAGGGGGGCACGTGTACATACGTTGTTCTCGTGCAAATACAGAACACACTAACCAGCCCTTAGATACAACTCAATCTCGTGCAAATACGGAACACACTAGCTAGCTCTCATATACAACTCAATCAGTTCGCATTGGCTGTCTCCTCTATGTGCTCAACCATATTGGCTGTCTCCTCTACTCAACCACAGAAAGACTAGGTCGCTCAACACTCACCTATTCATAAACTCGTAAAACAATAAATTACATGTGTAAATATATGTATATTTGTATAAAAAATATATATAAACAGGCAGAACGGAGAAGATTAGTGTATAAAAGTATTAAAAGAATAACTCATTAAGATCTTCCTGCCAAATCTCTTTATGAACTCAGCACATCTCAATGTTGCGGTCCAGATTCAACCACGCCATCATCTTATTTAATTTTACCATTTACAAACTGAACCCGGACTTGGACCCGAGGACTAAGACCTACATAGTCTTTCCATTTCTCATTTTCTTTACAATGCAAATAAAAATCACTATGATTTTCGTTACAAAAATCATCATAAACAATTATTTAATTTTTTTTTATAATATATATATATATATATATATATATATATATATATATATATATATCAATGCTGTCACTGAAATTGGGTCCCCAAGCGTGGCTAAAAAGTTGGAGGACCCAAGAGGAGTGTCGATGAAATTTCGCCACCAAGAACAGACAATTGGATGCATTGTGCTTTTGAGGATATACTTTGTAGGCTGTCTTTTAGCAACAAAGACAAACACAAACCCATAGATATGCTGGTTTTCGAGGACCTACAGGATTCAATCATTAAACTGTAGCTTCCCTGAAGCTGAGAAAATTCCATCGTCATATCATGATTGAAAATGAGACTAAAGTTTATACTAAAAGGTCCCACCAGGACAAACATGGTTAACAGTTTTCATATTTGGACTGTTCAGTACTACTTAATTTGAGAGGGACATTGCTCTCTTGGTAGACAATGTCATGTGATATTATTCATCGTAAATTATACATGCAATCGAGAATCGACATAAAATATAAAACTACGCAACACAACACACAAAATAGGTGAAAATTAGTGAGGCTGTGTTTGATGAAATAAAATTAGAGTCTTGAAATTGAAGAAAATTTTAGTTTAATTTTTTTATTTTTTATTTATTTTTAATCTAATTCCATCAATATCAATTGTGAGCTGTTTGTCTCTCACTACATGTAGAACCAAAATTCAACCACGATTGAGGAGACGTATTAGAGAATAAAACTAATTAAGTTCCACATTATTGGAACACATTATTGAAATTTAAGAGCAGAGGTTTCAAAGCTACAATGTTAATAATTTTCAAATCGAAGGAAGTTTGAGTTCCACTTCAATTCATCTAATGAATGTGACATATTTAACCCTTCGATTTGACTACTTCCTTCCATGAGTATACCATCGCTGTAAAAAAAAACAAAGAAAAGAAAACATATTGTTGCTCTCTAAAGCCAAATGTATTATAAAATTGAGTTCATGAAGAGTATGCTTTCACGATAACATATTCATGGTAGAGCTCATGCCCTCAATTATTATATTGCGGCTGCGTGACTTCACATAAAAGTAATATCTATTAGGATGACATTTTCTTAATGCAAATATGTCATAGTTTATCAAACATGATATCAATATCAACACTCTTTAAATATTCGTGAATATACGCTTGTGATACTTGTTAAATTATCTATAATTTTAATATGTGTGTATATATACATGGCTCGTATTTGGTATTTGGTACTTCTCGAATATTTCATTCACGTATTTTTGTTTTCTTGGGTGACATTGATAGGCTTCAAAAAAGCTACAGGAACTAGATTTTACGCAAAACAAGTTGTTGGGAAATATCCCATTCTCTTTTGGAAATTTAGTTTTTTTAACCGAAGTTTAGTTAAATGAAAACAATCTCAATGGCAGCAAATGATATTTTTGAATCTTAATCAAAACAACCTCAGTGGAACAATACCACAACATAATTTTGGTCTCCCATCATTATCAATAGGTCTCTAGGCCTTTATGGAAACCATTTGATTGGCTCTCTCTTTCCATGGAAGTTGGAAATTTGAAAAATATTGCTTACTTGGATGTTTCTGGCAATGAGTTATCCGAGGTAAGTTCCCATCTCTCTTGGTAGTTTGTGTAAAGATTGGAAATCCTGTTTTTGCGGGCAAACTTTTTTCAAGGAATCATTTCTTTTATCTTTGAGATTTTTGCGAGGTATTTGCAATTTAGATTTGTCTCACAATTTTTTAATGGATAGTGTGAAGTCTAAATAAATACTGTACGTCAAGATCTACCTATCTTCATAAATTTTTTAAAAGATATTTTGATAATTTTTGCACTTGTAATGTTATATAATATTTCTTGTTTGCTTTATTTCATTATGAGTTGGTGATTCTGTTCAATTGCTATGCACAGCTTAATGGGTAATTTTTTTTCCCCCAAAGGACACTATTGATGACTTGATGTCACTACCCATTCGCGTCGTATAAATATTGTTTGTTTTGTATATATATTTTTTTAAAACACGTCTATATAAGTAAAAAATGTTTACATATATAAAAGCCAACACCTCTTTCTCTCGGTGCACAATCACTCTCTCTTGGGATCCAGCGTTCTTATTGACTCAACTCTCATGTATATGTGCACGCTCTCCCATTTTTGATTGAGAATTAGATCTGTACCCGCCTTAATTGCGTTGACGCAATTTTAAAAAAAAACTTGAACACCAAGAAAATATAGATATATATATATATATGTGCGTGTCTGTATGTGTGTGTGTGTGAATTTGATTGAAAAAACAAAAAACACACCAAAAACATATGATTTGAGTTTATTTAAAAAGGGGCAGGAGAAGGATGATCCTTCATGTGAGGGCCATTGGATTCACAAGTTAATCATATGATATGATGTTACAAAGTGATAAAACAGCTACAAAAAAGAAAGAGTAAATTGAAAAATAAAATAAAATAAATTGGTCGGGTCGTTGCTCCAGTGGGTTAAAGGGTCGGGTAGTCGGGTTTCGTACAGACCCAAGAAAAGGTTGAGTTAAAATAGCAGAAATAACTTTACATGTCGAATTTTAAAATCGCTCCTCTCCAACACTCAGACTCAGGAGGACTCGAATCGCAGAATCAATGAGAATGAGAACTAGATTTGTTTTCTGGCTCTTCTTCTCCGCATATTCGGCTTTCTTCTCATACATTGTCTCAGCAACTGAATTCTCTTTAGGTACGTTTCTGTTTCTCAACTCTGTTCACTACTTCAGTTCTGAAATCTAGGGTTTTCTTTTTTCTTTTTCTTTTTTATAAATAAATTTGTGCTTTGTTTGGTTTCTTATAAAACGTAGGAAAAGGAAGCAGAATAGTGAACTAAAACCTTCACTGAACCAAGTTGTTCCAAGTTTACATTAATAAAAAAAGGGAAAAATTCAGTTTCTAGCAACCAGACATGGTGAACTTTGTTTGTTTAATTTTTAGTATCATTTTTTGGCATTTGATGATCGCTTATTATTTTACATGAAGTTTTAGTTATAGTAGCTGATGAGGATATAGGGTTTGATTTTTGAATTTGAATTTGCCATGTTAGAACCATAATAAGTGTGACTCCATTATAGCATTGATTATAGTTGGTTTGGTGGCTACTGGAAAGTAAGTAGAAAAAAAAAAAAAAAAACAGATTAATTGTGAAGAAAACTGTACAAGACTAGAGAGATTTCATATGCTTTGCCTCACAATACGACTTTGTCTACTTACAAGGACCCATTTCAAGACTCATTAGATCAATTGATATACATTAGAATGTAATTGTTCATAAGAATGCGGCCAAATTATCAAGGTGGTGGAATTTTCCTCCTCTGTTCCATAGGTTGTAATTTATTTTATTTTATTATTTTTATAAAAAGAAATATATCTTGCCAAACATTTGTAGGTCACTTATATATAGTAAACTTTGTATAAAATGGGATACTGACATGGTGTCCCAAGGGATTTTTAGGGACTAAGATGTTTCTATTTTCCTTTGTTAGACATTGTCGGATATGCATCTAGGAGTTGAGCACATGTCCGTACCCGTAATCATGTTCTTAGTGTTTCACAATAGGCACTTTACACATTTTGAACTACGCATAACAAAGGCCTAGCAGTACACTTGACTATGGCAATGGAAGAAATGTGGGGGAAGTGATCGGTCTGCTATGGTGCTGCAGACCAATTGCTCAACCTTAAAGAGCCTAGTTGTGGATTCAATGATACAAGTTCATGCTTTTGAGATCTTATTAAGTTCAATGGTGCCTCCATGTACGACACTGTTTTGATATAGAAAGCTATATTTGAGAGAGCGGTATATCTGCATGAAACATTGTTAAAGTTTAAATAAAATGGACCACATGCAATGTTTCGGGGAGGTTTTATTATCATTTGGTGCCTTAGGTGCAGGAAATGATGCCTGAATGGACAACAATGATTATCCAGTGAAACTTACTCAAGTTTTCTGAAAATAGAAACCATTCCTAGTAGGAGAACTGCAATTATACGGGTGCAGAACTCGATCTGGTATAAAGTTTTGTTTGATTATGCACTTCTTGACGATGATAAATGAGAATGATATATTGTTCGGATAATGAGGGCATTTTAAAGTTTTAAGGTTATCAATGTATATATAGGTACACTGTATGTCCTTGAAATGTTATACATGTGTGCAAATAGTATCTCATGGGTAGATGGTAAAGTTTACCTTGTTTGATAGTGATTATATACTTGCTTTTTTCATTGTTGCAGTTGTTGCTCAGTCTACCACATTACACCTATCTCCAGGCCAGCGAGTAGAAAAGTCTCCAGGGTCTAAGCCTGACACTCTAATGTTTTGTGAAAGAATTCAAATCCATGGCTTGTCAAGGTTTAGAAATATGAGGAAGTTTGCACATTCATTGAAGGTGAAAGTTTCTTATGTAAATTCAAGTGCTCGTTTGCCAAACATTGAGGTCTGTTTCCATAGGTAAGTCACACTAAATTATGTCATTTGATACTGCATTCAAGAAATGGGACAAATAGTTGTTTGGATTTGCATTGTTTGATAATCTTAATAGGATGTTGTCCCTGTTGTTTCATAGAAACTTACAAATAAACAAACTTCTAGAACTTAAATGTAATGCAAAAATGAAGCATTGTAGTACTCTCAATTGTAAAGATTGTTATGAATTACATATACCCATTATTAACAGCTTTATGTGTTGTATCTTTTTATTGGCACTCTCAAAGCTCAACTGATAGTTTTATAGATATTGCACATTGTGAAATATTGTATTGGGCATTATCTGGAAATTCCAGAATACTGATTTATGTTTAGAGTTTAATAAATGTATATTTTTAATAAGTGTGTTTAGAGTTTAATATAATTGCCAACAATAATGTCATTTTATAATTCCATTTGTAAATCAACACTTCCTCACTAAAACTGCAGATAGAAAAAAGGTTGAGAAACTAAAATTACTTATCAGCAAAAATAGGACCATATAATGAAAATTTGAACTCTTCCTTTTCGTTTCCTTTTAGTGCATGTGTGTTGTGTTTACGTTAATATATGTACCTTGCAGGAACGCATCATTGGAGTTAGGGATGTGCCCCCAAGGGCAGTGGGAGAAACTAGTTAAAGGTTCATGGGTTCGATCCATGTCACCTTTTGACCACAAGCTCATAGATGTACGGATGGCTGGTTCATCCTTAGAAACAGTTGAGGTCTCTATTGAAGAAGGTAAATTCTTTGTGTAATACTGTGTCAATAAAAATCCCTTTTGTATTTTCAACTCAATCATTTATATTTCTCATTTTATTTTGCAGTATTCTTCTTGTATCGCATTCTATTTTTGGTCCTGGGGATAATTATGATGACCTTGGCATCTTCTTTGAGCAAGTCTTTAGTTTTCTACTACAGCAGTGCAATGGCTGTTGGGGTCATCCTTGTAATATTGATGGTTCTTTTTCAGGTAAAATGGAGATGTTTCAGATCTGCATGTCACTAGTACTGTAAATGTCCTTTTCGATTGTGGGACTGCAAATGAGCCAAGTAGTTTGTTATTCAGGTTCATCCCTACTTAAAGATATTGTGTTCAATCTTATCTCATATTAGCCACAAGCCCAGAATTTTGTTAAGCTTTGCTCAATTATTGCCGTGCAACTCAAGCTCAGCTCTCAGTGGCTCATTTAAGCGGGCTGTTAAGCTCATCTTCCGTTGGCTGTTCAAAAGTAATATCCCTTTTGTACTTTTGAAAATACAATAAGTGGTCTAATGAATCAAAGGCTTTTTTTTAAAAAAAAACATGCTTGCATAAAAAATCATAGTGATAAACAGAAGAAATGTATCTTTTCTCATTTATACATGTAATTCCATCCTTTTCCAGCCAAGGTGAAAAATATGCCATCCTTGACCCTTATTTGGGCTTTATGGATGTGTTCACGAGCCCACCATCCCGACTTGGGCTTGGCTTGTTTATTAGATGAGCTTCAAATTAGGGCTCGTCCTCGATTCATATTTTTAGTAAATGCACCTGAAAGATCCACTTTTTGATATATCACTGAGTGATTTTTGTTCATTTTTTTGCATCGCTATCTGTCCTCAGCAGGGGCGGAGCCAATGTTGGCTCCCGCCGGGGGGAGGGGTGCGTGTGCCCCTCCCACTATTTATATACTTTCTTTTTATTTACATACATACATACACACACATGTATACACACACACACACACACACACACACACACACACACACATATATATATATGTGAGAAATTTTACATAATGCCGCCCTCAAATTTTCAATTGCTAAAATTATCTCTTAATTTTTTCTTTCTATTTTATTCTTCAAATTCCTTTGATTTCCTTAAAAAAAGTTTACATTCCTGTTCTTCAATCCAACCCTATTTATTTTTTCTTTCAAAGGTCTCCCATTTTTCATTTCTTCTTCTTCTTCTTTTGTTGTTGTTTTTTATTTTTCTTTTTCTTTCTTTCTTTTCTCTTCTCTCTATGAGTCTCGAAACCTAGACCTAGGGCTTTAGAGATAAGACTCAAAGTCACTAGGACAAAGGTAGACGAGTGTTTTATTATAATTATTTTGCCACGTCTTAAAATTCATTTTTTTGCACTTATGTGTGATGCATGTATTATAAATTTTTTTATTTTTTATTTTTTTATTACTGTAATTTTATGCATCGCTTTCAAAATACGAAGACCCATCGAGGACAGTTGTAATTGTATTGAGTAGAAATATTGCCAATCAATATGTTGGTTCTTATATTCGTCAAGTATTTATCTTTCTTATGCTACTCCTTAATTAACATATTATTTTACAATGAATTTTATTTTCTTAACTTCTTTGCCTTTTGATTTGAACAATCTATATTAGTTGTTTTATTTTTATCAAACACCACCCCCCCCCCCCCCCCCCCCCCCCCCGGCGGGCAGCGGAATGAAATCCTGCCTCACAAGCTGGCCCATTATATTTATTATATGTATAGGTATAATATTTGAAAATAATTACTTTGTGCCCCCCTGAATTTTTTTTTTCTTTCAAAAACAGCCTTGAAAATGATTTTTTTTTAATACATATATAATTTATGAAGTATTACTTTGTGCCCCCCCCCCCCCCCCCGAACCTAAATCCTGGCTCCGTCCCTGGCCCTGGTCCTCAGATTTATATTTGTTTACTTAAACTCCTTCCATTGAATTTATTTAGCATGCAAAGTCTTTCCTAATCTACTGTTGATAATCGATTACCTTGGCCTGGACATGGTGTTGAAGTGACTTTTACTTTTGGATATTTAGTGGTGTTTTGATCTTTCTTGTAATTTGATTCGAATTTAAGTTCTAAACTTAAACATGTTTTGTTTAGAGCTTTGATGTTTTCTTAACCAAAGTAGTTTGTTTAGTTTCATAAGTTATATTATTATGCACCAGTTTTGTTCCAAGATTAAATTCTGTGTTTCTATGGTTTTTTTTATTTATTAACAGGGAATGAAGCTTCTCCCAACTGGTCGAAAGAATTCACTTGTGATTTTTGCGTACTCATCTGTTGTGGGTATCAATCTTATATCAGTTAAGCATTATCATAATTATTTATGTATCATATGTTAAACTTATGCAATCTTGCTTGAATTTGTCACAGGTTGGCGTGGGATCTTTTCTTCTACAATACGTGCCAAGATTGTTGCGTACAATACTTGTGGAGATAGGAATCGGTGAAGACATGTACTATCCTGTATGTAAGTTCTCTATAATAAATACTGAAAGTTTCGCTTGCATCTGTGTGAGGAAGCATGAAATTCTATTTGTTGCATGTGGTTATGTTAGCCGGTGGGAAAACTTGGTTCTAACTTTAGATGTTATTGTCTAATTAATGAACACTGTACAGCACAGGTTCCCTTTTTTTCCACTAGCATGTAGGAAATACCACTTTATGGACCTTGCTTACGTCTTGATTTCTCTTATTTTATTTTGCCTAGTTAAAAAATAATAATAATAATAATAAAAAAAAACATATCAGTAAAATTATATGTTTTCGAGTAGATAAGAAACAACATATGCACAAAGTGCCAAAGAGGCCATACGATGATCAATAAAATTATATGTTTTTGAGTAGATAGAAACAACATATGCACAAAGTAAGCGTGGCAAAAGTACGAATAATGAGATGTGTGTGCAACAAGGCAAGAAATGAAAAAAATAGAAATGAATGCTTTTGTGGGATGATTGGAGTAGCATACCATTGAAATGAGAGAAAATCGATTAAGGTTGTTTGGACATGTGCAAAGAAGATCATTTATTGTACCACCAAGGAAGAGTGACACTGGTCCACATTGAGGGTAATGTTAGGGGAAGGGCGAGTCCTAAACCAACATGGGCAGAGTCAATAAGGAAAGATATAATAACATGTTTGATTAAGGATACATTAGATAGAGCAGAATGGAAAGATAGAACTTGTGTACAGCCACGGAACTAGCATAGGCCCAGTGGGGGCTGATATATATTTTGTTAAAATTTTAGCCCCCACTGGATTTTTTTTATTATTTGTATTACTATCTATATATTTTTTAAAAATTTTAAAAATGCCCCCAATCAATTTTTGAAAATACTCCATCATATACTCTTGCCCCCACTGATTTTTTTGGATCCAAAAGATACTAAAGTAATCGGCTCTCTCTCTCTCTCTCTCTCTCTCTCTCTCTCTCTCATTAAGTAATTAGGTTCTTATGATTATAATTTTATTTTTTAAAAAATTATCTTATATTTTGTTTTCTTCAATGGTGCCCCCCCTCAACAAAATTCCTAAGTCCGTCATTGCTTGTGTAGCCAACCTGAGTAGTTGGAAAAAGGCTTTGTTGTTGTTTTGTTTTGTGTCCTTATTATATCTATGTCATATTCTTGTATGTTTTGCCTTGGTGTGTCCGTATCATATTGTTTATGTGTCATGTGCTACAAAGTTTAAAAATTGTTTATCACAAGCTGAATTATATTCCTCTTGGGTGACATGTATATCATACAATATAACTTGAGTATTAAATATATCCAAACAAAAAGATAAAAGAAAAAGAAAAAAGAACCGAAAAAATTAAATACTGTGACGTTGTGGCCCGAATTTGGTGACGCAACCCGATAACCCGTTGAAGGGTTTTGGGGGGCATCACCCTTGAGGATAATTTTTTATCCCCCTTTTTGCTCACAGGTTGTGGACTCTGTTTAGTACTCTCTTGTAGCCCAATATATAAGGGCGCTTTGGGTTTGGAGTGGAATTAATAAAGACACTAAAAATCGCATAGAAAGAAGGTGAGAGTGAGAGTGAGAGCTAGGGTTTGGGGGTTAAAACTTGTAATCTCCTATTTTCGCATAGTGAAACTTTTGCCGGATCTCCACTGTGGATGTAGGCTTTGCCGAACAACACTAAATCTTTGTATTCTTTGTGTGGCGTGTTTACCTTTTCTGTTGTGTTTCTTGATTTGTACTTAGGTTTGCTGTGTTTGTCGTAACAAATACCAATTATAGGAATTCTCTAGAACTCGGCAATATGTTAAATTATGATTTATTAATTAATTAATATTATTATTATTATTATCATTATTTTGTGGATAACCATGGTCAATTAAACTGACAAATAACATTTAACCATCAAAGAGAATGGGGAAAAATTGGAAAACAAATACTCCCTCTGTCCATATTTGGAGGGAGCACTAACTCATTGATTTTGTAACCCCAAAAAATTTGGGAGGGGGGTGAACAGGGGAATGAACCATTTTTTACTACAGATCTCCTTTCTCCCCAAACATCAAGCTGCTTTTTTTGGAACTAGATTTTTTTTTTTTTTTTTTTAAATGTAAGTAAAAAAAACCCTTCCCCTTTTGAACACTTAATAAAACATGCATTTGCTTGTAAAGCAAACCTAGCTCTTCCCATTTTGATACAAATCCAAAATCAAATTTCAGAACAAGTGGCTAGGTCCCCAGTAGTAAAACATGCACTTGCCGAAATATAATAATTTTGTTGCTGAGCAGATCTGATCTATCAGTAGGTATTATTTATCATCAATCTTGGAATCTCTTTGGTCTTTTGGCGTAGATAAAAAAAATTCCTTCATCAGTTTTGAGAAAGAAAATTAGACGTCATGAAAACCAACCTCCCACTTTCTACACATAGTTATTTGTTTCATATGGAGTTACCAAATTATGGTCCACTTGGAATGGACTCATGGTATGTCTGTTAAAACGAGGTTTGTGCTCTCCAGAGCAACCTAAACAATATAAAAAGTCTATCTATGAAATACATATTCCCAGATCTCCATCTATGATAAGTGTCTACGCTCAGAGGTATATGATTTGTCCATTCTGAGCTCTGGCACAAATTTAGGCTCCTTTTGTTGTATTGTCCTGTGACCCATGACTGTTGGAGTCTCATTTTTGGTTTGTTTGGTATTCATTGGGTCATGCCTTAGACTTCTCGGGAATTGATGGATCTTTGGAGGGGCCAATGGGTGGGGGCTCAGGCGAGAGACTTTTGGAGGGTGACCCCTTTTTGCGTTTGGTGGAGCCTTTGGAAAGAGCGGAATAGAAGATCTTTTGATGGGAAGGAGTCCTCCATTGGGGTGCTGAAATTTTCTATTATTTGTACTCTTTTTTGTTGGGGTTGGGGGAGAGATTTTTCTTCTCTTGAGGATATTGTGGACCTTTTGGGCTCTTTGAGTTCATAGGTTCCGTTTTGTTTTTGTACAGCTTGTGACACGTTCCCCTTTTGAATGCTTTCTAATACACTTTATTTATCCAAAAAAAAAAAAAAAATATATTTATTTATATTTATTATTTAACAGCCTGCACTAACTGTTATTGTGATTGTGCTGAAGTTTCACTTGATCCACAAGGCATTCCTTATATTTCAATGTAGTTTAGTTTTTGGTTTTGATTTACATATTTTTCTTCATATTAACCATTTCAGTTTTTGAGTGTTGCATATTTTTCTAAACATTATACTAATAATTTGCACGATTCCTACTTCTGGATGTGTACATCTTTCTCATCATAGGGAGCCATTTATAGTTGTATGAACAACCATTCTATTAATCTCTCTCCATGGTTGTAAAAACGCAATGAGACTACATAAAATGGATAATTCTACTATTTATTTGACGAAACAAAGGACAGCACTTTTCCTATTACTTTTTTTTTTTTTTTTTTCCCTAGTTGGGACTCACACACGCTGCCTCCACTGAGGTTCGGACCCTTGACCTCCCTTTGGGAAGTAGGAGCCTTATACCGCTAGGCCACAGGACAACACTTTTCCTGTTACTTTGCTGATGTATATGGATCTTAAGCTGGATATTCATTTAAATATGGCATTTTAGTCATAGTCCATTTTGAAAGAATGCCATTACTATATACTGCAGCTGATGCGGTGCTTATATGTTGCAGCTGGCACTATTTTTGGTAGTTTTTCTTGTTCTGGTTGGAGCTTGGTTGGGCTTCTGGGTTGTGCGGAAACTTGTCCTGACAGAAGATGGATTGATTGACATAGGCGTATCTCAATTTGTTGCATGGTCCATCCGTATTTTCGCTACTGTTATGATTCTTCAGGTTGATATTTGACTAATTTTAGGATTTCTTTTGATATTGTCCCACTAGTCAGAGTTACTTTTCAGCTCTCTATGACCCTTTTTCATGGGATTTGATTTTTGGAACATGGTGACAACTTTGATAGGTTTATGTTGCTTTCAGAGTACTGTGGACCCTCTATTGGCTGTGGAAGCGTTGCTATGTGGAATACTGGTTTCATCAATATTGAGGAGAATCAGTAGACCAAGATTTAAACGTTACCTGTACAAGTATGTATTACTATTCCAGACCCTCATTAAACCCTATCATCCTCAATACATGCTTAAGAAATTTAGGTCCATAACTTCGATTTTTAAAGCTGTCTTGAAATGGAAAACCTTGTGCAACTATTAAGAGTCATATTTTATTTATTTAATTATTTTTAATTTGGTTCTATTAATTGCAAATATACTATGTTTGATTTTTTTAAATATTATTTCTAGTGTGTGTCCCGAGCCTTATAAGGTGTTAGAAGTGGAAGACTAGACCTAACCTTTGATATTATTTTACAAAAAGTGACTGCTCTTAGGAGCGTCCTTGTATAAACTTGTAAGCCATTGGAATTTCGATTGACCTGTTTCAAACTTTAAATCATATCTTCTCACATATTCTTTTATGTTGTGTCATTGTTGTGATATGTATACCTGTCCTTTCAATTTTGCTTTTGGTTTTGAGATGCAAAAACCTTTACGTAAAATTTTGTGCAGGAAATTGTGCAGAACAGACAAGAGCAATCACAAAAGATCCGGAATTCCCGATTCATCTCCTGTTAAAAATTCTTATGACATATACTTGCAGAGTAGTCAGTGGCCTGAAAATTCTGAATTCCAAGGGTCTCAATCCAGACTCTTTACCATGGTTCCATGCAAAAGTCCTGTCCGAGGTTTGTTTGATGTCCTTAGTTCCTTTTGTGATTTAAAGAAACATCAAATCAGTTTATCTGCAATTCTTTTACACACGCTGTCAATCCTTTAGGTTCAAACAGTACACCACGAAGTCAGTTGTCAGACTCAGATACCTACTATTCTACTTTTCACGACACACCCGAAAGGAGAAACTTCTCAAAGGATGAATGGAAAAAGTTCACCAAGGATTCCACCAAGAAAGCATTGGAAGAACTAGTTTCTTCTCCCGATTTCAGCAACTGGGCTGTGGCTAATGCAGAAAGAATTACTTTAACTCCCAACAAAGACACTGCAAATCAGCGCCGAGGCTGGTTTCCCTGGACGAGTAGTTAACGTGAACGGACCGCTGAACAGCACTGAAGCTGGTTTCTACTGAACGAGTAGTTATTGTGGATTTAACTAATTTTATCCGGCAAACATTCTGCAAAACTTAGAATGCACAGGCATGATGATAAAGTTAGTCAACCTCATGTATGCAAGAAAAGTAGAACTGACATATTGTTGTAGAATAGTATTAGGCAGTGTTTAGTTGTCTACGGGTCGAATATGATTTGTATTTTAGACGCGTAAAATCTACTTCTAGCTGAGCAGGCTGACCTATTGGTTTGTGTAAAAGCTTACTATTCTAACATTAACTGTCTTTAACTTAGTGGCTTTGTGTATTAGTTTTGCATTCCATTGTTAATGTGGTTTGTAAATGTCTGCAATGCAGGGCTCGCCGGTTGGCTTCACGGTTGCCGGAGAGACATTGCTGTAACGGATGGTCATTGGTGCAGCAGCAATGCTTCTCTACGCCGGAAACTTGCAATCTAAACTAAATTTGTGTTTGATTGATCGTACTGATTCACAGTTTTTTGAAAACTGTTTTTCGAAAAATGAGTGAAATTTTAGAAGCGTTTTATCATGTATTATTCATGGTTGCCTTCTAACCTAGCTTTTATAGCTTTAGAAGTTGATAACTAATTGGGGATTCGACTATATAACCAAAGCATGCTTGAAGTGGAAGTGAAAACATTTTTTTTCCTTAGATTTAGCATTTTTACATTGCCTTAGGCCATTAATTTGGGGTTTTTATTGCAAACAAATAGATAGTAGAAAAAAAGGAAAAAAGATACATCTTTTAGAATTTAGAAATGCCTAATGAGATAGGTCCAAACATCACGTACCACTCAAATAATGTAGTTGTTATTGTTCTTTCGTGTTGTATAATCTTATTTTAAGTATTCCATTCAAAATTATTATTATTATTTTTTTTTCGCAATATTCCATTCAAATCAAAGTACATACTTATATGCCATTGGAATCTTACCAGTTACAACATTATTGACCTCAAAATAAATAAATAAATAAATAAATAATGTAATTTTTACTTAAGTTACATAATCGTTCTCGTGTGCGCTCTGATTCAAATTCTCACTATTTATGATTTTGGCTAAAATTCTCACTATTTATGACTTTGGCTTAAATTTTTACTATTTATGATTTAATTCTGTCGTCTCTTGAATTCGCTTTCGTTCTTGATTTGTGCGACTTGAATTCTTACCGTAAAAATTTCATTCAAAAAATTTTATTTTATTATTTTTACCAATATTCCATTCAAATCAAAGTACATACTTATATGCCATTGGAATATCGCAAAATTACAACATTATTGACCACTTCTCTTATCTCTCTCTCTCTCGTCGTGTTTGGTGGAAGGTGTACTCAATTCCCACTTTACGTAGTTGGTGCACGATTATAAAGTTTGAAAGTTAAAAAAAAAAAAATATTATAAAGTTTGCGTTAAACGGTCCAAAATTTTGGATAATTTTCAACCAAATGATTCCAAACAACTCAGAAACAAACCCACATGACATGACATGACATGACAGAGCAATCAAAATCTTCTGTGAAAAGTCCGAATTTTCCCAGAAAAACAAGTTTGATACAAAACTTGATCAGTCAAGGCCAAGGGCCATCTCGTGTATATATAAACACACACACACACATATATATATTTGAGATTCTCTGCAGTACAATACATGTGACGTGACGCATTGTTGATTACATTATCTTAGCCGTCGCAGCAGTACAACATATGTTATATGAGTTCTCACAGCCGTCTGTAGTGTGTGTATATATATATAAATATATATGACGTACACATGTCCATTGATGGCATCACTCTTGGTTGCGTTGTCCCTGATTATATTTCTCTCACTAGTCTTTCCCCATCTGTAACTCAAACGTTTCGCTGCGTCTTTGTGCCAAGTGGAAATGGTCTGTGTGTTGAGTTTATAATTCATACACACATATATAATTATAAAGTTATACATACTGTGTATATTTTACACGCACATGGCCTTGTCCAAATCAAGATATTGGGTGTGTCCGGAGCACGAGTGTGTTTGGAAAGAGAGAAAGGGGAAGTTGGATGGGAAGAGAAAAGTGGATTTTGGTGGGATGGAAATGGGAAGAGGTGAAAGGAAAGGGCTGCTCCCGAGGCTGTTCAGTGCAGGAGGAAAGGGATGTAATTGGGGGGATGAAAAGGAGGGGTTCGTGAAGATGATGAGAGAAGCTCAGCCTTATTTTCATTTGCACAGAGGCAGCACATTCGTGGTCATATTGTCTGCGGAAATTATTGATAGCCCTTACTTGGATGCCATACTTGAGGTATTTTCCTTTCTCTCTCTAACTTTGCTCTTAAAAGTGTTTGGAAGAAAGAAAGAGGAGAGAGAATTTGTTAAAAACAGTTTCTATTCAGATCGAGTAGCTGCAAATTCTGACGCAATCTTGGTGAGGAGGAGTTTGTGTCTCAGTCTGCAAAATAGATTACAACATTATTTTTAAAATATTATTTATTTATTTTTCCTTTCTCAACTCAATAAAGAAAATAATTATATTTTTTTATTTCATATTTTTTGTTCGCTTCTTTTCTACCAAATACATCTTATAAGTAAAGAGGGGACAATTTTTATTTATTTATTATTTTTTTTATTTGTCGTCGTCCTCTGTTCTCACCAAACAAAAAAGAAAAACACTCTCTTTTAAACTATGCAAAATTTGATTTTTAAAATTTATGCAAAATTTGATTTTTAAAATTTGGAGAGATTTTTGGTTCATCAACGTTTTCATCTTATCAATAATATATATTTTTAACCATTATAATAATTTTTTTTAACAATATTTAAACTTGTAATTGGAAAGTGAGATTTAATATTATTGAATAAATATAAGAATAAGAATAATACATAGAGATTGCTTGGTTTTTAACTCATAAAATACAAAATTATTTTCAAAAGAACTATAAAAATATATGAAAACATACATTTTTATAATGGAATTCAAGCAGAGTTTTTATAGAGAAATTGATTTTCAATTCTCTAAAAAAAATAATTGATTAGAATATGATAATTTTAGAGTTCGCTAAATACATACGTAATATTTGTAGAGTAAATTACATTAATTTTTCCTTAAGTTTTGTTAATATGGACGGACACCCTTTTTTTGGTTAGAACACCTTTCCTCTTTTTTGAAAATAAGGAGGTTATACCATTGGGCGAAAGGCCCTTTGGTACCTCTTTTCTTGTTTGTTATTAAATTACACTAATCTTTCCTGTCAGACTTGTTAAATTTATAATTACATTTTTATCCTAATTTATATTGTATTTTATTATAATAAATACGTCTTTTAAAAATAGAATTAAAATTTACAAAATTGCTGACATAAATATTTTTGTCATTGACCATTATTAAATGAGATATATAATGTTATTTATATAAAAATCTGAAGGAAGATAAATGTAATTTAATAAATAAGAGAGACAACGTTGTACATTTGACAAAACGTTGCTTTAGGAGCTGTCTTACTAGTTGCTATCCTTGCTACCCTATGTAACAGGGGTATACAAATAATTATAATTAGCCAAAATTATAATTTATTTGTATAAATAAGTGGAGTGATATTTTCCATCCCACTTTCTAGAATCTTCTCCGATGCGGATTTAAGTCCTCTCATAAATCTTTTAGCAAAAATTCTGTGGCGCTGGAGGTTTTTTGATAATTTGTTAGTGGACTCTCTTTAATAACTTTTTGGTTTTTCAAATTTCAAACGTGATGGCTACTTTACTTTCCTTTTGTGTCCTCCTTACTTTTCCAAACTTGAGAACGTCATCCTCTCTTTTTGGTCTTTTCTCACCTATCATTGTAATTTGATATTGTTAAAGGTTTAATCGGGACAGATTCAGAAAATTATGTGAGGCAGAGTGGCCTTTAACAATAATGAGGTATAAAAATTTAAACCATTGAGTCATTGCAATAGGAGAATTTTTCTAGTAATTTTAGTGAGGACAGTATTAACATACGTCTTGAAAAAGATCTGTCAAATAAACTATGTAGCGTGGGCACTGATACGAAATATGGATATAATACGACAATTTTTAAAAAAATACCATACAGGTACGGCGTGGACACCACTATTATAAATATGATTTTTTTATTTATATATATTTATTGAGTAATAGTATTATAAAATTTTAATTCATTTCTAATTTATATACTAAGAGTTACTTTGAAATATTGAGAAAATGAAATTATATAATTATTGTAATGACTTTTATATTATATATATCGTTATTCCATTATTTGTTATAATAATAATTTTGTTTTTAAATAAATAAATATTATTTTTAAATAAATAAATATTATTTTATATTTCACGTGTTATCATGAGTTTAATTTCATTTTTTCTTAAAGAAAAAAAAGTTGAACTCCTTAAGTTGCATGAGTTTATTTTATTTTTAATATTATTAGGTAAATTTGTGTTAAAAATATTAAAATTTTTGTGGTTAAGTGTCCATGTTTCGAAGCAATGGTAAAGAGTTCAAAATGATAGATTTTAATTTTAATTTTAATTTATGGTATATATATATATAAATAAAGTATATTTTGAGAAGTATTGATGTCCGAGGTACGACTTCTTCGTGGTGCTTTATGGCAAGTAAATTTATTGCATCTTCCTATTTATAAGAAAAAATACACTAAACTAAATATGGTACATAGAAATGTTGGTTCCAATAGAAAACAATAATTTTTTGTTTTCAAACCAACAAAACATAACCACACAAAATGTACATATGCAGACAAACACTTCCCAGATGCTAAACGACACCACGCGATGCCTTGATCCTGGTCGTTGATCAACCTTTCAGTGGAAAGTGGGTCCCAATAAAATCAAAACCAATTCAACTTCCTCCACCACTCCAACTACTACTTCCTCCTTCCGCGGCGGCTCTATCTCATCATCACCTCTCACCACCATTCTCACAGCCGCCACCACCGCCACCTCTCACCACTGCCTCCGCCACCACCGACATTAACACATTTTATTCTCTCTCTTCAGTTCTCAAAATTAGGGTTTTTTGGTTTCTTCCTTCAATTCCGACTACTGATGGCCGTTTCAACACAAATCCCTAACGTTCCTCCCTTAAATCGCCTCCAACGATTCTCTCCTCCCCAAACGACTGTTTGGAGACCTCGAAACGGTTTTGCAGAGAGATTCGGTAGTCTCCAGTCGACGTCGCCATTGTTTTCGGTGGTTAGTTACCGGAAAGAAAGTACGTGTCCGGTGAGATGTAGTGTTTTCAGCGAAACAGAGAGTGAAGCCAATAATTCTCTGAAAGACGAACGGTTCGTTAGCTTTTTTCGTGAAGCTTGGCCGTACTTTCACGCTCACCGAGGCTGCACATTTGTTGTTATAATTTCCGGTGAAATTGTCGATAGCCCTTTCTTGGATCCTATTTTGATGGCACGTTCCTGATCTTCCTCTATTTTACTCTATACACATACATACATACATCCACACACACATAGTGAATGGTACAATTATTTGTAACTTTTCTGTAGGATAGTATTTTTGGTTAATGCAGCTGAAATTATTGTTTTAGTGGAATTTGAACAATATGAATGTGGGATTTGAAAACTATAATTTATATATATATATATATATATATATATATGTGTGTGTGTGTGTGTGTATATTCTTTCCAGCTATGTGAATCTTTATGGTGAATGGTATGTGTGTGTATATGTGTGTGTATTGGGTATGGAATACTAATTCAAATGAGTATGTATGCAGGATATTTCTCTTCTTCATGGCCTGGGGATCAGATTTGTTCTTGTTCCAGGGACCCATGTGCAAATTGACAAGCTTTTGGCTGAGAAAGGTGAGGGAAACCTGGTTGCTCTTTATTAAATTGTGTCCTTCCAAAATTTGATTAATATTTCTGTCTTTTAATTTGGCTTGGGATTTTGATTATTCATTTTACCTTATTTTATTTATTTCACTTTTTATGTAAAATTTTCCTTTGTCTATATTAATAGTCTTTAAATTACAATAGTTATTATATGCCCATCACGCTGTGTTACCAGATGTTTCGTAGGTTTAACTTTCATATTATAAATGTAACTGCAAATTTCTGTGGATCTGTTTTACTTCATTGTTTCTTTGACACAGTAGTGTTCTGATTAAATATAGGATAATACTTGGCAATTTCTACTTACTAGGTAGGTGGCACAATAAATTTATGGCAAGTGTCTTAAAATTTATAAAATATAAATATAACAAAAATATGGTTAAAACTGGGTTGACCCATTTTTAATTGGATTAATATTATCCTTTGTAATTTACACTAAATTCACATCGCTCAGTTCTTTCTCAAAGAAGAATGGAAAGAAAAAAAATTCTTACCCTTCTCTTGTCCAACTTAGGATTATTGCAGTGAGAATGAGGATTACTTTGAAAGTGGAGGTGAATGGGTATTTTAATAATATGATTTTTGTTTGTTTATATATATATATATATATATATATATATATATATATATTTATATTTGTATAGCTATGGTAAAACTTAAATTTTGATCTTTTGATTTGAAGAACAAAAACAATATATTGTTTTAAGAAGATCTTGTTTTTAGAAGGTATTGTTTTAGGAAGCTTGAATCCTAATTTCTCTCTACTTTAAAAGCCAATTTCGTACCTATGTATGTACAAGTGTGTGTATAGATATATATGGAGAGAAAAACGCAGTTAACCCGATTTAAATGGATTAAATACGTTCTGGTTCTATTTTTGTTATATTTTTTATTTTATAAAATTTGAAACACTTGTCATAATTTTATTATGCCAGCTATTGAGTGAGTAGAGACTCCCTACTCACCGGTGAGTAGGCAAGTATTGTCCTTAAAATTACGTTTCATCATCCTGTCTAATGGACATTTAGCCCGTTTCGGATTGCTTCTCAACAGCTTAAAAGCACTTTTATTTTTTAAAAATTGCATTTAGATGTGTTTGGTAATCATTAAAGCACTTGTAATAGTTACCAATTTTTGCTCAGAGCTTTTGAATGGTGCGTTAGGAGTAAAGGTTGTATATTTTAGGTAACTGTTTTTTTAGACAATTTTGTCATTTTTAATAATTTTTTTCTTTTTTTAATGTTTTATAAAGACAATTTCACCCCTTCTTTTATAAAGTTGTTATTATCAAACATAGTAACATTTTGTTAAAGGATATTACTGTACAATTAACAATAGAATTGTTTTAAAAATATATTGTTATCAAACTAATTAAAATGTATTTTAATTATGAAAAGTACTTTTTACATAATGTGTCAAAAACACTTAACATGCTTTTGACTGAACAATTTTTTGGCAGCTCTACCGACAAAAGCGCTTTTTTTCATTCTAGCAGCAACACCAAACGGGCACTTAAACAACTTGTTTCGTATATCTTCATTAACTAATTATTGGCAATGTTTTTAGATCATATGAAGTTATCAAATGGCATGTAACCTGGCATGTTATTACTGCAGGAAGCGAGCCCAAGTTTGATGGTCGATACAGAATTTCTGACCCCGATTCTCTCGAGGCGGCAATGGACGCAGCTGGGAGAATCCGAATAATGATAGAGGCGAAGCTTTCTCCTGGACCCTCCTTATGTAGTATACGTCGACATGGTGACAATAGTCGTTGGCATGATGTTGGTGTCAGTGTTGCTAGTGGTAATTTTCTTGCAGCTAAGGTAAGATATACTGTTGCAAGATTAACATTTTTTTTCGTTAGCTTGTCCTTATTTGATTTGATATCAGTAGGCTTCTGAAAATTATTCTCTTAGGTTTACCATTCAAGTTCTATTGGGAACATCACTTCTATTATTATCTTATTGGCAGAGAAGAGGAGTCGTTGAAGGCATTGACTATGGAGCGACTGGTGAAGTAAAGAAAATAGATGTTACTCGCATTCGGGAGAGACTTGATAAGGATTATATAGTGATCATGAGCAATCTTGGATATTCCAGCTCTGGAGAAGTTTTAAATTGCAAGTATGCTACATAGCTTTTGATAGGTACTTCTATTATGGCTTGGTCTGATCTGATCGTAAACTTAAAAGTTTACATTGAAGTTTCATCCAGATCTCGTGAAGTTTTTGCAATGTCATTGCTTAGTGTTCCTTAGGGAAGAGGTCTATTCTTTTAGCATTCCTTTTATCTCTAATCTGGGAAAATTTTCTTTCATTTTTTTAAACCAGAATAGTTATCTTCATTATCATCTCATTTATTTTTTTTACGCCTTTTCAATGGCTATCTATTTTAGGTTTTCAAATAGATACATTGCATGGAACTCTGAGGGGCGTCCAACTCTATTTCTGTATTCACTTGAATGCGATTTTCAGTCTTAGTTATGCATGTAGACTCACGGTCACAAATTTTTAGGCCCTAATGCTAAAGATACAGGCAGTGAAACTGTTGTTGTTGTTTATTTATTTATTTATTTTTTGTGTGTGTGTAAATTATAGAGTAAGACAAACATAAAGAATTTGGACTGGATGGGTCGAAATAAACAGGAAGTAGATAATATTTGTATGTGAAGAAGTGGTAGATATAGACTAAACCTTTAAATTAGCACCTAAGATCCTTGTTGAAATCAGCACGCAGCATAGTTATGTGGAATTGTTTCCTTGTGAATATTTCTGTTTCAGCTTTACTTAGAAGAAGAATATTTCCATTTTAACTTTAGAGCAACTCATAATTTTGAGGGACGGAAACAACCTTTTCCACTTCTAAAGCATCAGTGATTACACTACGCCCGATGCATTGTTATAGTTGTGACACATCATCTTTCAGGTTGGTCCCTTTTGCATGTCTTTGAACATTTTCCATGTTGATGAAGGGATTCAATTCTGGTCATGGTACCCTAGCATCCTGCTGACATTATATTCTTGTTGGTGTGTTTGTGTATGCACACACACACACACACATATATACAATTTTTCTAGCAGGCATGCAAAGTGCTTTTAGTTAGATTTTTGCTTATTGACAATTAAAACTGTTGAACATTTACAAATAAATAAATAAATTAGTAATAAAATGATATAATAATTAAAATTATCGTAAAATTTGTTGACAATTTCAAGGAGTGCTTAAAACATGGTGACTAATGCTTTATGATGTACTATGTTGCAGCACATATGAAGTTGCTACAGCTTGTGCCTTAGCTCTTAAAGCGGAGAAGCTTATTTGCATTATAGATGGTCCAATTCTGGATGAGTGTGGACGCCTTATTCGATTTTTGACTCTTCAAGATGCAGACATGTTGGTTCGTAAACGAGCTAAGCAAAGTGAGATAGCCGCTAACTATGTGGAAGCTGTTGGGGAAGAAGATCTCACTTTTCCTGGCCGTATTGATTCCAATGGAAGTATCCCCTCTTCTCTGAATGGGAAGGGTTTTGATAATGGTTATGCTGCAACATTTCATAACGGTGTTGGATTTGACAATGGGAATGGGCTATGGTCTGGTGAACAGGGTTTTGCAATTGGAGGTCAAGAGAGGCTGAGTCGGTTGAATGGTTATCTTTCGGAATTGGCTGCTGCAGCTTTTGTTTGCAGAGTAAGTCTGCAATTCATGGTTATCAACATGACAAATATTCATTTTTGTAGTTGTAATAAATATATATTTGGGTTAGGTAAGTACTCGCGCACACATTTCACAAATTGTCCACTACAGGGCTCAAACCCTGCAGACCCCCCTTGAGGGAGGAGAGGTTATACCATTGTGCTAATGGCCCATTGGTGTGTGCATTTTTTTATCTGTCCCGTGGTTCATTGGTATCTGTATTTGTACACACATTTCACAAATACTTGAATTGGATTTCTAACTGCTACTTTCTAGGCTATCTGCATTTATTTATTTATTTAAATCATTGGTGCAAGTCTGCATCATGTTGTGACCTCTACCCTTTTTTCTTATAATTCTTGTGACCTCTATCTTAGTAAAAGCACGTAAGAATTTTAGTAGCCTTTTTCTTCTTCTTCTTCTCTCCACCAATTATTTTCATGTCTCGAATGCTTTTTCGTCTCTATATCATAAAATGTTTATAAGAAAATAAATTTGTTTACCTAAGATGCTCATACATAGATGTGTATATGATTGTTTATTTGTTTCAATTTGCAAGAGTAAACTGATGTATCAATAGTCATGATAGAGTATTCAAGTCATAGCTCAGCTATTAGGTGCTTGTACTTTTCCTCATTTAGAAGGGAAGTGTAATGTTAATTGTTCACAGTTTTGTCTCTCAGAGGCAAGATAAAGTATTGAGTTTGTTTTGCTATAAGTTTTCTAAGGTAGTGGTTGGTGGTGGACTGCAGTTTGCGGATCATGGTTTGATGTGAAAGTATTAAATATTATTATATATGGAGTGGTGAAAGAATAAAGTTCAAGAAGGCATATGGTTTATCTATATGTGTTACTTGTTAAAAAATAAAAATTGCATGTAAGCTCTAATTAGTTTACATGTAGTTTTGTTGCATGCATACCAATATATTTGCCATGGTATAAGCAAAGTTCAAGAAGGCATATGGTTTATCTATATGTGTTACTTGTTAAAAAATAAAAATTGCATGTAAGCTCTAATTAGTTTACATGTACTTTTGTTGCATGCATACCAATATATTTGCCATGGTATAAGCAATTCTGCTTCCCTTTCTATTCATATTGCTTAATTTCTTTGAGATAGGTCCTGCCATCAGGTCCTTAGAAAATTGCTCTAAATGAAAAGTGATTGTTATCTCGAGTGTACTATGTCAGAGTGTCAATAATATGCTTTTTACTTTTTCTTCAGGGAGGTGTCCAGAGAGTTCATCTATTAGATGGTACCATCAGTGGAGTATTACTGATGGAACTGTTTCAAAGAGATGGAGTTGGGACAATGGTGGCTAGGTATGCAATTTTTTATTTTATTCTTATTTTAATTATTTTTGTAGCAACCATCTTCCATAAAATTCTATTTTCAAGTTATATGACTTTATTTTGAATGGCGGCATTATGAGCCTATTTGTTGACAATCTGGGCAGCAAATGCTCCTCTTAATAAGCATTTGCACTGAGTTGACTGAAGATTCTCATTTCCCTACCATCATGGGGCAGAAGAATGAAGAGGCCTAGGGTGGCCCCCCAAAGATAAAAAAGAAAAGAAAAACCAAAATCCATTAAAACATGTTGAAACCCTTAAAATGTCTCCCCCAAGGGTTCCTTGGTCTTTCCCTTCCTATTGTTTTTTCACATGATGTATATGTCCTTGCCTAGTTCTTTTTCCCTTTTTGTCCCCCATCAAGGGTCCGTTTGGTTAGATGGAAAAATTAGGTTCCCTCAATATTTTTCTTTTCCGTCTATCCAAACTCTTAAAATGTTAAAAATTTCTCCATTTCTTTTCCTTTCCCGGTATTTCCATCTAATCAAATGAAGCCCAAGGGACCGCTTGTTGCAATGGATGATATATTTTCTCAAAATAGACACATTGTATTTTAAAATTTGCAGCTAGGGGAGGGCTACTCGGTTTATTTTATATTTTATTTAATGAAAGTTGGCCTTCTCCAAATCCAGTAGTTGCCTTTTGTTTTTCCTTATTTATTGTTCAAAGCTTTATTCATGTTTCTTACCCAATCAATATTCAGTGGGTTTGTTTATATTATATAACAAAATACAATATATATGTAAATTATATAAATAGAGACAAAAATGAAGTTAGAAATCACCAAATAGTCAACGTCATGTACTTGTGCTTTAGGCTTTCGGGCAGGTAACAAATTGATTATGCGCACTTGTGAATCTTGAGGAGAGTAAATTTTAAAATAAAAATTTATGTGCTTGAAAAGAGTACCTGTGACTGCACTTGAGCAGGACCAAGCCTTGCCCTGTATCAGTTTACTTGAGTCAGCTTGCTTGAAATGAAGGGCATTCCAGCAATTACTGCTTTAGCCCAGCTTGGCAATAATTTGCTGCCTTGTGACCTTTCAGGCTTGGTAAGTAACATGATAAGTGAGCTTACGAATGTCATGTCCTCTCATCTGATCCAGCCACTTTCCAGAAATAGGTTGGCTTGGACTTAACATTGCCAATGTTCAAATGCATTAATGAACAAGCAGACATGGTATCACATATAACATACTTGACAATAGCATATACACACAAAAAGTAACAAAGTAACAAAGATGACGTCATATGTAAGAGTTAGTTGAACATTACACCCCTTTTCATGATTTTTTATACCACTTTATGTCATGTCATTGTACTTGTGTTGACAATTCAAAAAGAAAATTAACAATAGCCATAAAAAAAAAAAGAAAAAAGAAAAAAAAGAAAAGCCCAATAAAATTACAGTTGTAGGACAGTAATGCCTGTTCACTGATCCAACCAAGCCGAGCTTCAGCTTGTTTTGGCTCGGCTCATTATTAAGCGGCTTGATAATTGAGTTGAACTCAATTCATTAACTTATTGGACAAGCCTAAGTGAGCCCATTAAAAAGCCAAGCTGAAGCTATTCACAGATAGCTAAGGTCATTTATAGCCTAAGGCACAGTATTTCTAAGAAGGATATGTCCCATGTTGGGTTCTTGTCAAATATATTCAAGTTTACACAATGTTTGGTTGGTTTTGTTAAATGTTAAATGAATTTCCTTAACCTATTCTTCTTGGAAACTTACCTTTTATATGGTTCAGCTAAACCCAAGCTCTGTAATGCTGTTATAACTGTGAATTCTTCTCATATCTCTTTTCACAGATTTTTTTAAGTGCATAATTTTGAGATATACAACAAGTACCATGGTATGGTATGAAATCTCAATTTTATTGTAGCAAACCAATGGGTCCGTTATTTTGTGTCATAGTACATTAATGAATCAAGATGAAATTAATTAATTAATGGTTCTTGACTGGGCAAAATTAGGGGTTCTGAGTGTTGTTCTGAATAAGAAATATTATTCTTAGAAGCAGGAGAAAGATTTATTTTGGTTTTGCCAACATCAATTTTTCTATTGACATCTGTATTAAATTTCCATTTCACTCCTCAGCGATCTATATGAAGGAACACGAATGGCTAGGGTGATGGATGTTCCTGGAATAAAGCAAATTATTCAACCTTTAGAAGAATCTGGCACATTGGTCAGGAGGACTGATGAAGAGGTCTGCATTTCTTTTCTTTTTTTTTCTTCATATATCTCTGTTCTTTAAGTCATGTTGTATATATATATATATCTGTTTTTCAATAACTGTATACCATAGTTCTGGTTATTGTCTCTGCAACTTGAAAACTATCCTTCTTGACACTTGTTTTATGTTCATAGCTAATTAAAGCATTGGATTCCTTCATTGTTGTGGAGAGAGAGGGTCACGTGATTGCTTGTGCTGCGCTATTTCCTTTCTTCAAAGATAAATGTGGAGAGGTTGCTGCTATTGCTGTTTCCTCCGAGTGCCGTGGGCAAGGACAGGGAGACAAATTACTTGGTATGATGTTAAAATAGTTCTTCATTACAGCATTTTACAATGTTTAAAGTATGTGATATTTGGAAATCACATATTCGGTCCATGGACGATTTCTGGGGGTTGTGTTATCATCCATCTTTGAATATGAATTGGCCTTGGATTGTGTCAGTATTTTGTATTATTCTTATTTTTTTATTTTTTATTATTTTTGGAGATTGTATGACCTTTCATTTTTGTAACTAATCACTTTGTTATTAATTTTGTAGATTACATTGAGAAGAAAGCATCTTCCCTTGGATTGGACATGCTTTTCCTGCTTACGACCCGCACTGCAGATTGGTATGTTTCTTTTTCTCCTGCCACATACAATATTATAATATATGCTAATTGTATCAGTTTCTGATGGCTTAAATGAGAATGACTCGACAAAACTATCCTAATGTCTATTCTTAAAGAGTCCCAACTTTCTTTAATTCTATTTCATGCCACTAGCAGCTAAAATTTGGGATTTTGACCAAAATGTCTAATTATTTGGTTACATATTTTTAGGTAGTTCTTGAGTGCAGATCTCAGCCTAGGTTAGCACTAACAAGCCACAGAAATCTTCGTTTGTGGTGCAGCGCTAAGCAGCACACTGGAGTGGTCCTAGTATTGGCCCAACAGAGTGCTAAGATACCTAAAAAAGTGCTTCATTCTGGACTTGTTTACCCAAATCCTATTATAGTTTTCTTAGCTGCTACTAATTCCATTGTTGTTTACCCTACATTAAGCATAAAAGACCTATCAGAATCCAAATTTATGTTCATGAAAACAAAGCACATTCTACATCAATCTGGTACTAGGATAACCCAACTGGTAGACAATAACCCCATGTTGCTGGGTTGTGATATGTCAGCCAGAAAAACTGGATTTTAGAAGCAGCTGTTAGTCCTTCGGATCTATTTTGCCGACCCTACCAATATGTAGTTTTACCTTAGAACTTTAGTTATTTTTTGTGATAGCTTCACTTTTGTCAGTTCTTCAGTTTATGAAATCAAGTACTTCATTATATGGTAAATGCAGTAGTTCATTTTCATGTGGTACTCCAGCATTATCTGAAAGTGAATTTGTCAACCGCCTTATCGTTAATAATATGTTTGACAGGTTTGTGAGGCGCGGCTTCTCAGAGTGTTCTATCGAACAAATACCAGAGGAAAGGAGGAAAAAGATAGATCTATCCCGGAAATCTAAGTATTATATGAAGAAGCTACACCCCGACAGGAGCGGAATTGCCTTCAATAGGGTGTTTGCTGGAGGTTACGACACCAGATGAGTTTATGACCACCCGGATACAATAAATTCACGCCAAGTTCTAGTTCGGAATTTTGTCTGTCTCACTGTTGATTGCTTTTATTTTGAGTGGTATCGTGTTTGTTCCAATTTAAAGCACTGTTGCAAGTTGGGTTACTAAATAATAATAGTGCCTGGACGCAGTGAGAGATGCACTTGAAAATAGAGTAACAAAATTTCTGTTTTCTTCAGCAGGTACTTGTATGTATTTTCTGTAATTTTGGAACAGAGTTGCTTAGTTTTGTGCTTTTAATATATGTGATCACAATCTTTAGATCACACGAATCGGTTAAATTTTTATATTCTCTTTCTTTGACTTCATTTGATCAAATTGAACTGGTTTAATTTTGTTTTTTGCTATTTAGCTGATTTTTGTTTTAATGAGATCATTTTAATATTGGTTATGTAATGATATAACTTGTGCACTTTTTTTTTTTTCTTTTCATTTGATGGAGAACTCCTGACAACAATCATGAGGTTGACCTCATAATGACATTAATCTTATAATAAACCACCACCTCAAAATTTCTAAAAGGTGATTGTTAATCCACAAAAGCTTAAAAGAGAATAAAATGACCAGAAATTCAATATTTAAATTAAAACTAGTGAAGAACCAAAACCAATAGAAAAATAATAATAATTTTATAAAAGATAAAGTTGAAATGTGAAAACGCTCCTCTTTCATGAAAAAAGAATGGAACTTATCCAAAGATTTTTTTAATGAAAATAAATAAGTAAAAAATCTCTGATGTAGATATAGTCATGTTGCCCAAAACTGAAGAAAATATGAAGCCCAAAAGCTAACATGTAGTTAAATTTTTTATTAAATATTTGCCTTTTAGGTGTGTTCTCCTTTGCTGTATTACTGTACAGACTATTAATTTCTTTGTTTATATCACACTTGTTTAATCCCAGCAAAAAAAAAGAAAAAGGAATAGATCTATCAACAGCAACACTTATAGCCTTTTGAACGCTTTTATTTTTAAAAAATTCATTTAGGTGTGTTTGATAATTATTTAGAGTGCTTTTAATGATTATCAATTTTAACTCCTTTGACTGAAGTTGGAATTTGAAACTTTTTAAAGACTATTTTTTCTTAGACAATTTTATCATTTTTTTAATTTTTAAAAAAATAACTTGAAGAAAATTGATGTGTAAATTATTTTTATTAAGTTTTAATAAAACATTTTACTTAAAAAAAAAAAAAAAAACTAAAAATATTTTACATTCTGACAACCTGCCAATATTTTACATTCTGACAACCTGCCTTTAACGGAACTTATGATGTCAGTGAGGATGAAATTTGTTAAACCCTCACTTGAAAATGTCATTCCATCGTTTTTAAACGCATGCTTTTAGAAATGATAATGGTTTTGGATGGTTTAATAAATTAGGAAGAGTAATTAGACAACTGTATAGAAACTTTGGTGAGGAATTAGTATTTCATGCATTAAGCCCACTTACTTATAGGCTTCCAGATTCTCCATGGATGGCTTGGATTGTATCTTACTCTTTAGAAAACTCCAACTAAAAATCTTAGATATTTAACCCACTCCATATCTCAGCTATCCCAGAATATTTTCAAACTTTTTGAATCCTTCACCTCTCTACCCTCTGCAAATTTCTCCAAGACCCTCAAAACTCAATCATAAAAATGTCATGCAGTGCAATCGTGCAGACGTGCCTCAAACTTGGTGGGGGTGCGCCAAAGGAGAAATATGATTTATTAAAGAAGGAGAAGGGTCGTTGCAAGTACGAAGAGTGGTTGCAAAAGAGATTCTACTAATTTCTTCTTGGTAAAGGAGTTAAGCATGAACCATCAAGAAGTTATATAATTTTTATTTTATTTTATTTTTTATGCTTTAACCTCCCTATTACATACTAAGCAGTCTGAACATCTCCAGTAGTTTGTTAAAATAATTTTTTGTGTAAAATATACATTGCCACGACCCAAGTATAATGTGTACTTTTTTAATTTTATTTTCAACATTATGTTAAGATACACTGCCACGTTATCAATGTGTAAAATTATTGTGTGTATTACACAATCCTTCTACACAACCACATCAGTATATTAACTTTCTCCTCATTCTTTCTCATTTCATTAACGAATAAACCTTATATTAAGTTTGTAAAAGTTATGTGAAATCCTGACATGACACGTGGTTGATTGTTATTGGCCGATACATTTTTACACAAAAGACATAAAATAATGGCTAAAGTTAAAGATGAGGAATCCCATTTTTTTTTTTTTTTTTTGGGACACATCACATTATACAAAAAAATATATACAATCGTTGGAGATGCTCCTATGCTTTAACATGTGTTTTTTCCAAAATTTTAAACATTTCCTTTTAATTAGATGTGTCCACCGCATGTCAAGTGCATTAACATTTCCAATGACATGTCCAAATAGGAAATATATTCAAGCATGTGTTTTTTGACATGTGTTTATCTTACGAGTGTCTAACACTGACACTTTGACCTTTAAATTCGTTTTCTTTTTCAAAATTATATTTAGATAAATTATATTAGATTAGAGTTCATTTTTAAAAAATTAATTGGAGGAGCTCATTCCTATAAATTAAAGAGAGGTAGATGGAACAACTATTTTAGCTCTATGTATAAACTATTAAGTGAGGGGGCCATTGCTAATTATATAACTACTACATGATTCCACCCCATCAATCAATATTTTGTGAAAATGTTCCAAGGATTGCGTAGGCTTGCACATAGTTTTATCACAAAACCATACTTTTGTTTCTACAATTTAGAGCAATGGGTATGGCTGGCTCTGGTGTGGGGATGGCCAATTAGGCGGGCCCCGCACAAAGTTAGCAATGGGTGGCCCCATTTCATTTCTTGCTATTTTATCCCTCTCCATCCGTACAATGACCCAATATTATAGCAAGCCATGTCAGTCCAATTGCAGATGTGACTAGCCAAAAATTGCGCATAGTTTTAGTTCGGAGTTTTGAAATCTCATTGTTGATTGCATTTATTTTGAGTGGTATCGTTGTTCTAATTTAAGCTTCAGTGCAAGTTGGGTTAATGTGAGATGCACTTGAATATACAATAAATACTTATTTTTTCCTCGGTGGATACTAGTATTTCCTATCCATAATTTTGGGCTTAGTTTTCAATTGGAATGTGCAAATTTAAGCCTATAGCTCACCATTGTGCAAACTAAGCAAAATTTACTTATTTAGGTTTTCAACTCTCTCTATGAAACAAATTTCGAAATGTAGAGGGATCTCCAATGTCAAAAGAATCACAATCAATGAAGGGCATCTCCATTGGTGGTTTTTACTACGCCATATTTGATGTTGGGCTCCTTTTGTAGGGTTTATAATCTCGCACGGAATCACAATAATTCCAAATGGTTTATTTGGTTGGTTTCAAGGATGGATCTAAAAATTGTCAATGGGTGGGCTAAAATTAAATATAAATTTAATAACACAATTTCTTAAGCAAATTTTTTATTAGGACTTGTTTGGCTTGGACTTGTTTTGCTTGGGTCTTTATTTTAGTATTGTGGCTTAACTGACTTAGGCTTGTTTGGGTAAGCTAATACTATATATATATATATATATATATATATATATATATATATATATATACATTCAAAAATCTTTGTGGTGCTTTAGAGGAAATCAACCATGGGAGTATGTAGGGTAGGGTTGAGCTGAGCTCCAATATATATATATATATTGGAGCTCAGCTCAACCCTACCCTACATACTCCCATGGTTGATTTCCTCTAAAGCACCACAAAGATTTTTGGATGTGTTAGACATATCAAGTTAGTAAAAATATATCACCTAATGAAATTTGTCTCACTTGCTCGATGTCGGGTATGTCCTGCACATCTAACATCATTTAATATTTAAGTAATAAAATTTACATTGGACAAGTTTTCTAAACTTCTCATGTTTTTGAAGTGATTCAGCTGAGTCCCATTTCATTTCTCGCAATTTTATCTATCTGCTAAAATGATGGATCCCAAAAATAAATGGTCAAATCTTTTATTACCATACTGTCCAAATGCAATGATCCAATATTACAACTAGCCAGTCAGCTCAATTGCTGATGTGGTTGGCCAAAAATTGGTCAAATATTCTGTTTGATAGGTTTGTAAGGTGCGACTTCTAAGAGTGTTCTATCGAAAAGATACCAGAGGAAAGGAGGAAAAAGATTGAAATGCTGAGGCATCTCCAATGTCAAAAGAATCACAATCAATATAGGGCATCTCTTTTACTATGCCATCTTTGATGTTGGGCTCCCCCCATTTGACATGCTTTTTGTAGGGTTTATAATCTGGTATGGAATCACAACAATTCCAAAGGGTTTATTTGGTTGGTTTCCTCTTAAGCCCGATAAAATTTTTTTGATGGGTCGGGCATACCAAGTTAGTAAAAATGTATCAACTAGTGAAATTTATCTCACCTACTTGTATAAAGTGCTAACAATAAAATAATAATTGTCCCACCTATATGTAAAAAGTATATGGTGTGGTTTAATTTGGAGACATTATCAATGATGGGTATGTTCGGCACATCTAACATAGTTTAATATTTAAATACCAAAATTTACATTGGACAAGTTTTCTAAACTTCTCCTCATGTTTTTGAACTGATTAAATTGATTTAATAATTTTTTTTTTTATCTTTCTCAAGTGAGAAAATCTTGCATTCTTGAATTAACAAATTTCCTTAAAATTATAAAACAGGTGATGAATTTATAATAAATTCAAACACTTTAATTTGTCTAGAAATAACTTATAAGCCTGGTTATACTGTTCTTTAATTTACTAGCCTTTTTTTGTTTTTGTTTTTTTTTATCTTACTATAATTTATCTATAAATATTTCTACTTACTATATGTGAATTTGGGTAAAAAAAAAAAAAAAAAAAGGAAATTAGAAAAGGTTTGGTAAATAATTATATTTTTAAAAATATAGTGCTCCTGCCGGGACTCAAACCTGGAGGGATTATTGGTATTATTTTGCATTCTAATATATATAAACTACATACTGAATGTTCTAAGACCACCATGCCAAAATTCTACTATCAGACGAATGATAAAGACATATCATACATATATATATATATATATATATATATATATATATATATATCCAACTGGAGTGACCTGCATGAAAATTCTACAAATCATTCTCTGATTCAAAGACCCTGAAATATAATACACAAAAAAAATTAAATATCCTTAAAATTCAGAGAATGTCGAACGATTGTTGTGTCAGTGGGGTGAGTTTTACCATATGACATCTCCCGTGAATTCC